TATTCATTGGATAACATTTATAACTATGTATTAAACATTTTTGATAGGGTATTAAAATAAAATGTAGTTCTTCGACTTTAAATTTAATTTTAAGAGAGTTTGTTCACCTTCAACCTGAAATTAGTACAGGATGTCCTAAAATAATGTTATTCTTTGCAAAAAAAAAAAATCATACTAGTGAAATAAGTATACAAATCCTACTCTACATTTATATGATCAAATAGCTTATGAATGTACTGAGCTCTCTTTTTCAGATTATTTGGGAGAAATTCAAAATTTCAGGATAATTGAAAGCTTGATTTTTAAGTGACATTTTCAAGCAATATTTTCAAACGTCCTACTGCATTCAAATAACATTGGAGAATCACTATGTTTATGGTATAAAAATATGTTTTTAGTAACATTATATCTGGGGAGCCAATGGGGAGGAACAAAAGAGTCGAGATGGCCATCATGGAATCATACTATAAAAGCCCTGCCCTTTTGTATTTGTAAGCAACGTCGTGCATTTGCTAAAAGGCAGGATGATAATGTTGCGACTGCTATTTGCCTATTTTGACATTTTCTCCTTTGGCAATTTTGTTTTTAAAGGATGCATTCTTTCCCAGTTCCTAACTGATTTAAATGAGATGGTTTCAACTCCATGTCTACTAACATAACATTTCACGAGCAGACTCATCTGCAAGAAATGCAGGAGGGGGTGGGGAAGCAGAGACACTGTTTATGAGCTCCCTTTTTCACTGCCACACTTACAGGCACTTCCCCCATTGCTCTGCAGAGCTCTCCAGTCCAAGGAAGCAAATCTCGCGGTCATAGCAGACTGTGACATAAGGGAAGTCCAGTGCAAATGATCATATCTGTTCTATTGAGCAAGAAAGAGTCCTTCCATTCAGAGAGACAGTTTCTGAATCCAGCCTCATGAATATATTGAAATAGTAAGGTCATTAGATGGATTTCCCTTCAATTACACTGTAACAAAAATTATGCAAAAAATATACAGGAAATTGCCTGCCAAGAATAAGACTAGGTTAAGCGTCATTGACTTGGAACTAGCCTATGCAAAGCAGAACTGCAATTATGATTTGATTTTGAGAAAAATCAAGCAAATAAGGATCAATCAGTTTACAATTCATTTGAAAGAATTAGATTAATGGAACTAGTAAAAAATATACAACTCTATGCATGTAAAAATTAATAAAAAATTAATAAATATTCTAATAATGCTTGCTGGGATTGTCAAGAATTGATCATTCATACTATTTTTGGGGGTAAACAAAAAAAACCCTACTAATGTACCTAAAGCATAATGTATTTAGAATTATTATTTTTTTATCAGAATCATAATTAGGTTAAGAACACATAAACTGGAAATGTACATTGCTATTTCCAGAACTACAACAGAAAAGGTTTAATGGGGGGGGGGAATGCTTTATAATGTTAATTTGCAAATATTTATTTAAAAATAGTCTTCTAAAGAGTATCTGCCCATCATACTTATAATACAAAGTTCTTTTTAGAAACCATTTATTAAAATATGAAACTTGTTAAGTTTCTTGTAAATTCTACCAGATCCAGCAATGCACTTCTTCCCACCTAGATTTTAAACTACTAGAGCTTGCTCAGTACACATGATGTGCTTGTTTCATTTTATAATCTAGCGTGGCCTTGAAAAAGTAAACAGTAAAGTAATTGGAATAGAAATTCACGCTATTTGTTGTGTTACATTCTTTATCTCTACTATTCCTTCTCAGTTAGAGATCCTTGTCTTGTCTAGACAAGATTCTTCCAGCACAAAGCTGTGCACAACTCTGCTTCTCTAATGCAGTGTTTTTCAACCTTGATAGCTTTATGATGTGCAGACTTCAACTCCCAGAATTCCCCAGCCAGTTGAAGCCTGCACATCGTAAAGTTGCCAAGGTTGAGAATAGCAATAGCACTTAGACTTATATACTGCTTCACAATGCTTTACAGCCCTCTCTAAGTGGTTTACAGAGTCAGCATATTGCCGCCAACAATCTGGGTCCTCATTTTACCAACCTCAGAAGGATGGAAGGCAGAGTCAACCTTGAGCCGGTAAGAATCGAACTGCTGAACTGCAGGCAGTCAGCAGTCAGCAGAAGTAGCCTGCAGTACTGCATTCTAACCACTATGCCCCCACGGCACCACCATGTTAACACTGCTCTAATGCAGGGGTCTTCAAACTTGGCCCTTTTATGACTTGTGGACTTCAACTCCCAGAATTCCTCAGCCAGGCATGCTGGCTGAGGAATTCTGGGAGTTGAAGTCCACAAGTCATAAAAGGGCCAAGTTTGAAGACCCCTGCTCTAATGTGAACCAGGCCTTTTCTAGGCCAGCAGAACACATGGAACAGGACACCCATCTTCACCCCAATGTGGAATGGGATCTAAAGCAGCACAGAGTCTGAAATGTCTCCTTTACTGTTCATCAATATGGAAAATGTATAACCAGTCTTTCACATGACAGTTTTGGACCACTTTTGGAATGATGCCTCTGGCAAAAGAAACAAGTACCACTCAAAGATCAATTAACTGTTGTGGCATTTGATCAACTGTTGTGGCATTTGATTCACCCTGGAACAATAAGTGATTCAGGTGTAGCAACAAGATATAAAGAAGCTAAAAGACAGAAGAAGACAAGAAGTACAAACTCTTTAGGTATTTTTCATGATCCCTTCAATGAAAAACAATATTGAGGAGATTTCTAAGCATAGTCCAGAAGCTGTTCCACAGGAGCTATCTAAAATTAACTATAAAATACTCTGACGGTACATCCTTAAGATCACCTAACACATTTTACCCTTTAACACATTGTGATAATCTATAATCAAGCTGGTTAAAAACTTTTTTTTTTTACATATTCATTGCCTGTTCAAATATAGCATGCTGATTATTACAGTATAATTCTGTTTTAGGTGATGCAAAAGACAGAAGCAGAGGAGGGCAGTAAGATTAATTAATCTGGAATAAAACTGTGTGATCTTGTGATATGCCCTAGGACAGGATTTGACTTCATGTTAATACCACCTAAAAGAAGACAATTATTTCTTCTTTCTTCTTTCTCCTCTTCCTCCTCCTCCTCCACCACCTCCTCGTCTTTCTTTTGGATAATTTGAAAAAAAACCTTGATTAGAAAAAATATTCAAGAGGCCCTGTTTGTTTCTATGTACCATAAAATGATGTTAATGGTAGAATATTCATGTTCTCATTCATAGACACAAGGAAATTTTCTTCAAGATGGTTTTTAGACCTTAAAAAAAGTTAGTATGATTTTCTTGAAGACTAGCAATGCATCTATACTCATTCTCATAGAATTAAATCCAACTGAGTTCCAGAAGGGATTTTCGAGGTGTATAAATACACAGAAACACAGACTAAGACAGACTTCTCTTCAAACTTGTTGGCATTTCTTGGAGTTGCTGTGTATTATTGTTTTGCTCAGTATTAGCTGTCTAATCAATCATAGCCATCAACATTATTCTGTATATGAAATATCCTCTTGGTATAAATAGCATTAAAATAAATTGTCAGAAAAAAGTTTTCAGTTTTAATCAGAATACACCTTTTTTAACTCAGCTCCTAAGCTGTGTTTTTCACAAAGTCTTCTTAAAGATATATTAAAAGTCACCATCCTCATTTCAGTTCATGTGGAAAGTGCATGCTGTAACTAAAGCTGGGTTACACTCTCTTTCATCTACCATGGAAGCAGTTTGTCCCTTTGGGTGCTTTCATAGAACCAGTAAACTAAAATCTGTTTTAGGGTTACTACATTTTTTTCCTAAATAATAGAATAATTATTATTTATTATTTATGAGACTTATATACCGCTTTAAGTGCAAGCACTCTCTAAGCGGTGTACACCAGTAAGCAATGTATATATATATATATATTTACATTGCCCCCAACAATCTGGGTCCTCATTTTACCTACCCCGGAAGGATGGAAGGCTGAGTCAACCTTGAGCCGGTGAGATTTGAACCGCTGACCTGCTGAACACAGCCAGCTAAAGTGGCCTGCAGTATTGCACTCTAACTGCTGCGCCACCTCGGCTCTTTGATTCAGAAGTTACACCTGGAGAAGGAGAGAATCTCCCTTATCTTTTACAAGGATTGCTTGAGGTGTTTCCTTAAGTTGCAGGGTCCCAGGGCATAATTTCTTTACACATCATCTGATTTCTTCTTTCTTGCAGTGTTATAAGTAACAGCTGGATCACAATGAACTTCCTTCATAGATGTAGGAATGTTTATATTCAAACTGCCAAAGACTAAAAGCTTTTCACTTTCGCTGACTGGTCACAATCTACATTGTTGTCCTATCCTTATTACTTTCCTCTAATTGTTTCTTGATAATGCACCTTTTCAACCTTGTGCATACACATGCAAAGGGCACTAAAATATTTTCCATTATAAATTCATGGCAAAATTATGTTAAGAAAGTGTGCTTTGTGAATACATGTAGGAATCCATTTCCTTAGAGAATTTTACTTAGAATTAAACATAACCATTCAATAATTTAAAAAAAAAACTCTAAAAATTTGCTGTCTTCCAACCAGCTATTCCAATTTAATTCTATTAGCTTTAAACTAGATTTATTTGAAAATAAGTGTTTTCAGCATTGCAGCTTAACTGAAATAAGTAGAAAATGTTAGTCTTTTCTCTAAATTCAAATGTACCCAACATAAAATGTAGCTCTTATTTATCTATTTTCTCCTTATTAAATATTTCTTTATATAATATTTCATTGCAATTTGGAAAATTATTATTGTTGTTATTATTATTATAGCTTTCATACATAAGTCTGATGTTCTAACAAACTGTTAACTTTTCAACCAAGATTCCAGAATAAGTTGTAAAATCTATAAAAATTACTTTTGAATGTTTATTTTCAATGGGCAAATGTTACTGGCAAAAGTAATTTGTGTGTGTGTGTAAAAAAAAAAATAGTTAAACCCTAACAAGGAACAAAATTTGCCACACCACACTATTAGGTTAAAAATAAAATAGTATAATAAAGGAAATACAAAGGCTTTGGCATGGTTTTTACAATCAACAATGGTTAATTTTGATATGTCATTGTGAACAACTTCAAAACACTTAAGTTTAAAACTCTTGCAAGCACTTTTAATTGATTAGGAATGAATTCTAGATGCACAAAATAATTGGACTGTGAACAGTAGTACAACTATAGCTAAGAACAATTAACTTTTGCTGACCAAAAAAGAAATGTTTGATGCATGAAAATGTGTGTAAAACATCTATAGAATATTCTTGTTGAATATAAATGAAATTAACTTTATTATAGAAATCATTCTGGGAGATTTCTAGGGAAGACAAATACTTACATTTTGACATAAAACAAATTGGATTATATCAGAGACACAATCTACTCTTTTCCTATCAAACTTTTCTTCTTTGAAGTTAACCCTATGTTTGCAAATAAGCATCATCTGTTTATAACCTTTGGAAATTTCAACAGATATTTTCCTTACAGAAATATACTCTGAATTGTTCCCGGTTGAATTATATGCAGTGAAATAATATAGACTTGTAGCATAGTCTGGAACCTATGAACAAATTGGTAGAAATATTCAATATAGTTTGATAAAACTCTTAATTCATGGCAAAGGTTGTTGATCATGGCTTCCTTTTAAAAAAAAAAACCTTCATGACCAACACAAAAGCAAACATCCATTCAGTCTACATTGTTCTTTCATTATAACATATAAATGCCCATTTACAAATAATACACCAAAATGAATAAAAGTTTGGATACCAAAATGAAGATTTGTTCCAACTGATATAATTCCTTCGGTATACAAAGGTCCATGTTAAAGTCTTTCCTCATGTGTTACATCATAGGATGCTGTTGTAGTACAGAAGTATGTGGAAAGCCATTCTTCTTATAGAAATACAGATCAACCTCCAACTGATGTCCATATAGCCATTTACAAAATCAGCCCACGGTTTACTGTAACCTTGGCCAGTACTGAGACATATCAGGTTCACTGCCAGGAACTTGAACAGGAACTGACACTCCAGGAGAAATTAGACCTTGAAGAAAGGGAAAAAATGTGTTTGGGTGCATGTTTATAGATCAGTGGTTGGATAAATGATGGGGGGGAGGGAGAGAGAGAATGACAAGGGACACTTTGGGAAATCAGTGAATAAGAACTACAACTTATGTGTTAAGACAGGGGTCTTCAAACTTGACCCTTTTATGACATGTGGACTTCAACTCTCAGAATTCCTCAGCCAGGGACGCTGGCTGAGGAATTCTGGGAGTTGAAGTCCACAAGTAATAAAAGGGCCAAGTTTGAAGACCCCTGTATTAAGGTATTGTGCATTCTCATATGCTCAGTGTGACCACTTCAAGCACTTCTATGCATGCACAGATATCTTTGTGAAAGAACAAGTGGTTTTATTTTGGCATTGAATCTTGGCAGAAGTTCTATCCGTGTATGTATATAAGTGCCCAGGTCATATATATTTCTCTCACTTCCCAACCATCCTTTCCAATGGTTTGCATAATAATTATTATTATAATATAATTATGTCCATCTATTGCAGCGGTTCTCAACCTTTGTGTGACAGTGACCCCTGTCACACAGACGCGCCGCGCATGCACGGCGGTACCCCCATGCACGGTGCGCATGCGCGGCGGTGCCCCCATGCACTGCGCGCATGCGCAGCGGTGCCCCCATGCACGGCACGCATGTGTGGCAGCGCCCCCATGCACGGCGTGCATGCGCGGTGCCCCCATGCACGGCGCGCATGCGCGGCGGCGCCCCCGTGTGCGGTGCGCATGCGCGGCGCCACCCCCTGAGGGGGAAAAATGGCGGATCGCATTGTTTGGCGACCCCCGTAAAATGGTCGTTCGACCCCAAATGGGGTCGCGACCCATAGGTTGAGAACCGCTGATCTATTGGTTGAAAGATATCCAACAGTACAACAGATATGCAGGATGGTAGAAGGATTGGGAGAAGTAAGGTAACATAACATTGTATTCAGTGCAATTCTGTAATAGATAAATATGAACAAATTACATATATGTTTTTTTCTTTATATTAGTTCTTTAAAAAGAGGCTAATAATTGAATAAATGAAAGAGAGAAACTTGATGTAACAAGGAATGTGAATCTTCAAAATCCACATAATGATATGCTAATATGTATGGTAGCATATGAATTGTGTTTATTATTTATTTAGAATACAACACAAGCACAGGTTAGCAGTTTAGCTTATAATAATTAGGTAATAAGTCTCCCACTAACTAATGGAACTTTGAAACTTCAGCTAAGATAGGCAAAAATGTATTTGAATATTTATTAGAACAATAAAAGGATTGGATTACAAAATTCCATTACAATGGCCTTTTGGCTAAGATCAAGCATAGCATCTGTTCCTCAACTGAGCTGAGCTTTATCTTCCTGAATTCCATAATATTTATCTCCTTCTCCACTATGGAGACAAAAGTGAATTAAATTTTGCCATAAGTCTATCTTAGTAATTTATTATCACTGTACTATTATATTATATATGATTATAAACCTTGCACCTTTGTGCATCTTTTTATATTAAGATACCCTCCTCTCACCAAATCAGTAGAGAAAAACAAAACCTATCAATTATTCTACATGGTTAAAGAAGTGCTGATTTATATTGTCAGTGAATTTCTAACAAAATGGGGCTTTCTTTTTCATCAGATTATGTTATTCATACCCTCCAATGATATCTAATTAGACTCTTAAACACATATTTGTTATTTCCTCTTCTTTGATTTAAGAGTTGATAACAAGTCATCAAGTTTTGCCCAAAGGAATCAAAATTCCAATTCATGGGTAAGCACTCCTATAAACTATCTCTGATGAAGGTACCATTGGTTGGCTGCTCACCTGTTGAAGTGGTTCCAGAAGTGCCCATTGGCTGGCTGTTCATATGTGTCTGCATATGAGGAGGGGTGTATGTATCATAGCTCCTCCCATTTACTGATGGACTTGTGGGCAACATGCAAGAATAAGAGGAAGTCTGGCTGGGTACTGGGGGCTGCAGGTAAAAAGACCAATATAATGTTCATTACTTTAAACATCATTTCATCTTTCCTTCTTTCTTTTTTTAACAGATGGTGCAAATGTAATCTCCACAAACTCATGCAACATTCATATTAACTGATTGGTTCCACTATGTTGGATGAGCTTTATGATGCAACAGGGAAGACTGGTGCCCAGTTGCATTTTCTAGCATACAGAGGTTGGCTCTGTTTGCCAACACAACTGACTCAACTTCTCCCCAGGGCAATAAACATTCCCCCATGTGCCAGCAGCTACTGACAGTGCATCAATAAGGCAGCCATGTGAAGGCCATTTTTAAGTCCTCCCACTCACCATAAAGCAGGCTTAGAGTTCGTTTCCCCCCCATTAGAAAAAAATAATGGGAGGGGGAAACATTGATGGCCTAATTAGGTTCAGTGCCACTGTGGATGGAGTCAGAGGGAGGGCTTTCCCATGCTGACCCCTTTTTTCCATTCACCGCCAACCCTACCCCATTTGTGAAGGTATCAGAGGGTGAAAAGTAGAAAGGAAACAGTGACACAATGCCTAGAAAAGCTGCATTTCGGCAAGGCGCTTCTGCAGCTTTGTGTCTGTTTCGGAGACAAAGGGTTACTTCTCTGTTAACCCTTTCAAACCCTGTTTTCATGGAATGATTGACTGGGAGAGGGGAGATTAGTTCATCCTAAATCTTTTTAGATTAATTTTCCAGGTTAGTTGACAAGCTACGATGATGGCACAGCCCAGCTTCTGCCCAATTAAATACATCATGGAAACAGACCATTACAGCCTTTCATTTAAATGTTGGACACTGTTTTCTTATGTACGCATAAAGTCCACTCTACCTTTATTTTCATAAATAGAAAAATACAACTTTTCAATACAATGTTTCATAACATTCATAAGCTAGGGAATTAACAGTGAAGGATGTCCAATTGGAATTTAGGAGAAAACCTTGATTTTTCATGATTGTTCTAAGTGTCCATCCAGAGCATCTACTGTACTCTATATTAATAATAGCCATCTAGCTTTCCAGTTTGCAAGTTTTTTCTTCCTTCAGTCCAAAAGGAAGGAATGTATTTCTCCCTATCCACCCCCATTTAGATTAGATGTAGGAACCTGGGGAGAGGGTGACAAAAGAGAAGAAATGCCCAACGAGCTAAGAGGAGTCCATTTGTGCAATTTTCATTTCACTCCAAAGTGCAAAAGATTTTTCATCCAAATCTCGCATGCCTCAGCCTTCCATTTAAAAGTCACGGCCCTATGTAGAATAGCAGCCATCTGGACAGGCATGAAAGCTGTACCAGTAACACTGGCATCACTTCTCAATTGGTGTCTTTTCTTGCATATATGCTACATTTCACTCCCTACAACTTCTAGGCAGCATGAAGCTGGAATTTATGAGAGCTGAAACTCTCTGAGCTATTTAGCAGCACCTGATTATGATAAAAACAGAACTTTAAGTGCAAAATATTTCATTTTGCAGCATAATTCTATGCATATTGCTCCTGAAGTAAATTTTAGTATTACATGGATTTAAATTGATGTTGTGTGCGTGTATATAGACATATGTACGTTCACACACAGTGTGTTGTGTATATGTATATACATACTGTATATATACAGTGTGTGTGTGTGTGTGTGTATTCACTTGGTTATTGGCTTGATTATTACAGATATATATATATATATATATATATATATATATATATATATATATATATATATATATATATATATATATATATATAGCGTAATAAATTTTCCAAGTATAATCATATATAATTCTAATAATTTCATTGTCTCACTAACTTTTCCTCATTCATAGAGCTATCTTCAACAATTGGAAGCTGGAAGTTGGGTGAAATACTTAAAAGATCTCAAAGTATTTATTCCCTAAATAGTTGTTTTGTGTTCACAGACATATGTTCTAACTTCTGAAGTTTGCAAATATTGGGGGTTTTTTTTAGTGCTAGACTTTTTAAGGCATTCTATAAGAGAGTTGTTCAAGCTCCTCCATTGAATATCCACAACTTGTTATCTTTCTTAGAGTGCAAGAATGATTCAGGGCCTAGAAATGCATTCTTTTCCTGACTAGTAATCTGCATGCTTACAAGCATGAGGGTTAGCAGCAATATTCATTTTAACACAGCTATTTAGAACTGCAGGTGCTGTTCACATCCTCTGCTTCCCCTTGGGTATTTCAAGGGTGCCAATAGCCCTGGTGTCTCATCAGCAAGGTGTAAGTCTGCTAGCATGTTAATAAGCTCTTTCTCCACCGCAGCTCTATACTAATGAGTTTTTCTAGTTAGATACATTTTTAAACAGATATTTTTTTCCTTTTACCCAGTTGAAATGTTTTGTCTTTTGGATTCAGAGCTTCTGGATAATTTAATCAAATCCTTTCTTCCACTTCCCAGACCATGCTGTTTGGGGTAAAAGTTGGGAAGCTCTTCTCAGGATCTGCCTACTTTCTTCTATAATATACTAGGGTTACTAGTTCTAGTGCAGTGTTTCTCAACCTTGACAATTTTAAGGCATGTGGACTTCAATTTCCAGAATTCCACAGCCAGCATTGCTGGCTGCGGAATTCTGGGAGTTGAAGTCCACGTGCCTTAAAATTGTCAAGGTTGAGAAACACTGTTCTAGTGGCTGAATGTTATGATAAACTACAAATTGGAACAGACGTTGGGCTGGATCAGAAACCAATTTGGAGAGGGGAATTCTTAAGAGGTAAAATAGTGCTTCAACCCTCTGCTATGCCTGGGACATCCTGCGTTTACTTTTTTAAAATCCCCTGAATAAAACAAAAAAATGAGTATGCTTTACACTTCTGTTTCAATGATTGCTGACATGTCTATGCTACTTTGGTTTCTTCTACAATTTTGTAATCAGTTTGATATTTTAAAGAAATGTAGTTGAATGGATAGGGTAGGTGCCATTCAAGCTTTTCCAGGAATCTAAATGCAGTCCCAAACCAAGTATTTAATCATGCTAGCAAAACAATCTTGCGCCTGAATTTACTGTCCTCACTAGAGGAAAAGTGAGATTACATTGAACTATTACCAAAACTTATCAGACAATTCATGGCAAGCCATTTCATAACAACAGGCATTCCATTACACCATACTGTGTAGGTTCAAAGAAAGTACCAAATATTCAGACAACCCACAGCATCACTCAAACAACAATTTCAAATGTTATCAAGGTGCCCTTAATCACAGTTGGCTTACATTCAATGGACATTTCTTTGTTAATTTTCTTTGGATCAGGACCACTGATCACAGTTCAATAAAGATAAGATATATTTATCAGTCTATACTGGACTGCATGTTTTGGACACAAGTCATGGCATAGATGCACAGCATGGAGGCCTGAGAAAAATTCTTATGGATTCTTGGAAGTCAACAATGCTTAAACAAGGTTGTCTGTTTGAGATCAGAGCCTAGAAAATGTATCTTTCAAGGGTCTCATAGCCTATGGAATTGGGATTATAAAAATATGATTTCAAACTTCATTGATATTAATCTTGATTAATATTAAGTTGGATTAATAACTGCCCATGTTGTCTACTGTGCAACACCATCACAACAGCACTAAAATTCTAAGCACATATTTAAAAGAAGGAATATTCTAATGCGAAGACCCAAGTTCAAGTCCATTCTCAATAAGGGAAACTCAGTGGGTGACTCTGAGCTTTGCACAATCTCATATGCTAAACTACTTCACAAGCTTGTTTTAGTGAAGAATAACTAAACAAAGGAATGCTAAGTAAGCTGCTTCATCTCCCAAAGACAAATTGGGAGATAAATCTAATTAATGAATAAATAATCAAGAGGTGGCAGTGATACTATGGCTCCATTACAGAATGGTTTCGAATGGCAAAGTCATTGCCAGCCAGAGAAATTAAAAGAAGCCTGCCATTTATTGGCAACTTGTTCAACTTAAACCAAATCTGGGTTTGGAAATCCTATATTGCAGTACAACCTGACCATACCTATAGCACATAAGAATAGCAAAGGGAGGTGCAATTTGGTTCTTGATCACTATTTACCAGTTCACACTTACACTTTGCTGTTCTTATTTCATTTATTTCCACCAAATGTGAGCCCCGTTCATTGCTGAGCAATGAACCTGAAATACATTATATCAACGCTAGCTGTGTCCATGTTTTGGATCAGATAATGTACAGTAGATAAATCAACCAGAAGAAGCAATCTACATCTTTGCCTGAAAGTTTTATACGTTCACCTTCTAGGTGGCAACTCAGAATTTCCGTATGAGCTCTGAGGGCCTGCAGAAGCTGCTGAATTTCACCTTTCCTAGGAAAACATCTGCTCACTGATTTTAAAACACCTTGCTGAAATAAAGGCAAGGTTCCTGAAACAAGCAGTTTGTGGACTGCTGCCTTGGTCTATATGGGATCAATAAGATAGACCAGTGTTTCTCAACCTTGACAATTTTAAGGCATGTGGACTTCAACTCCCAGAATTCCACAGCCAGCGTTGAAGTCCACATGCCTTAAAATTGTCAAGGTTGAGAAACACTGAGATAGACAGACTTCAAACTTGTAAGCAATGTAAGTGCTTTTATCACCAAGGGATCAGATAAAAATAGTAGGAAGGACAGTATCAAACATTTGATCCATTTAGAATTAAGGAGCAGACTGTCTTTCTGCTTTCATACTAACAATGTATAGTTCTTTCTTCCTTAAATGAAAGCATTACTCCTAGTTATCTGGGCCAACCAGTTTAAGTTGTAGAATGGTATTGTTACCATACTTAAACTAGTGGGAAAACAGAAGCCACTGCTTATCTATTAACCATAAAAACTACCAGAAGATCTCAATTTTACTTTCTGCCTACATGCTTAAGCATATTTTGCCCAGATTAGTGATCCATTAACAACTGGTAACTTTAGCCATCTGTCAAGATAGTTAAAACACAACAAAAAAGATGTTTCAGTATACTGGTAGATAAAGTAGAGGTTCTGATTAGCACGATGAATGGTAAGCATCAAAGCATCAATTCCACTCCTCCTCTGTTGAATGTGCGTGTATGTGGGTGTGTTTCTATTTGTGAGAAAAGATGTAAGTAGTAGTCCAGGCTTTCCCATTTTGTTAAATCAAACTGATAATATGCATAAGATCCCACAAATACTGGGTAGATTGCACACTTGGTGATAGCAGCATGATATGGAAAATCCTCTTAACCCTGGAGAGATCTCCCTTATAGTCTAGAATTGTTACTAACTTCAAAGGACAGAGATTCTGCCCAGTGATTACTCAGCTCAGAGAGCATATTAGTAGATTATACTTACTTGCATAGGCAGGTTGTTAGCCATTGTGAAACTAGGCATGGGTGGCAAAGCACTGTATGTGTTTGTTAGCGCGGTGTCTGTTCTGCCCAGCATTGAACCTGATGTGAAAGAGGAAACTATAATAGAATAGATAGATAGAGAGGATGGATGTATTAGTTACACTTGGATCAGATGACTGCATTACTTTTGGCAGCGTTCCCCAACTTGGTGGCTCCCAGATGTGACAAAGTCTATCTCTCATAATTCCCAGCCAGTGCATTTGGAAGACGCCATGTTGGGTAAGGTTGCCGGACAGCGTTCCATGGTATTGCCCAGAAAGGGTGAGTAATTGCATGATATACTTCTTAAAGCATATTACCCGGTGTTGTGGGTTGTGGGATCGGCTGGTAGACACTTGTGCTAAAACTACTGCTGATGGGAATGTGACTCGGAGTGTTGCTGGCTTGTCTTCTCTGGTTTCTTAGTTTCTCTTCTCGTCTCCACTTTGCCCTCCTATTGGAAAACCATACCTGCCAATACAACGTATTTTCCATTAGTTCAGGGAGGAGAAAGACAATGCATCAGACAAAGAAAAGAAAAGAAAACCAGTAATGGCTGTAGGATTCATAGAAAACATTTGTGAAAATAAAAAGACCGTCTTCATGAAGTATTCGCTTCCACATTTTTCATCCGTTACCATGTTCATCGGGGCAAAAAATTTAGCAAAGTCCATGCAAGATTATCCATGTGTGGTGGACTTTCCAAACAGGAAATTTAGGTACATATTTACTGCATTTGAATTAGAACATCTGTTTAGATGAATTCTAGATGAAAGGGAGCATAAATGCTACTTGCTTTAATAGGATGCAGATAACTTCACTGGAGTCTGCATTTATTTTATTGATTATGTACCAAACCCTTAATGCAATTAAAATCAGAATTAAAACAATTTATTAAATTATTAACAATGAAAATCACTATCCCACCTTCTTGAACACGAATGCACAGAGAAGAAAGAGAGAAAGCATATAGTAAGGTAGCAAGAGCTGAAGAAAAATACGGTATGGTCTTTTGAATACCTGTATTCTTGCTTCAGGCAGGTCTATTTTGGCAGCTAGTCTCTCCCTGGCAAACACATCAGGATAATGAGTTCTCTCAAACTCTGGTAGAAAAGAAACCCATAGAATTTGCATTAAATTAGGTTATTTGCTTTTAACTTTCTGAATATTCTGAGCGCCCTTGACATTCTAAATCTTTTATGATGAATATCATCGGAGGAATGCTTTGAATAAGATCATATAATGCAGGTTTGATTTAAAGTGTGAGATATTATTATTGAATGATTCCTTCCCAATCAAGTGGTTCATATTAAAATGATTTATATAATTACAGATCAAGTTTAGACAGAAACCAATAGTAACACATTTTAAGCAGTTAATAGATAAAGCCTAGAGTAACTTTCTCGCGCTAACTTTCAAGAAAATTTCAGATGATAACTCTGTGAAATCCAGGCCTCAGATCAGATGAGTTCCCAATCAACTATTGGTACATTGGGAGCAAGGGAACTGGACGATGGGCTGAGACTTGTGCATATTTTATGATCCAAAAAAGCGGGAAGCAAAATTGCAGCTGAAAGTCTCCTGACAAAGACAGGGATACTGTTGAACTTCCAGTTCCAGATGCTTGCTCTGCTGCTTGTATAATTGCTGCATCTCTAAGCCATCATAAAAATCACATTCCTAGACTGGACATCCATCTCATGTCTGTCCCAGATTGATCATACCACGCCAGGAGAGAAGAGGCAGAACAGTGCATTATACGCCCCTTGTTCTGACTTTTGGTCACGAAAAACAAGCCTCACCTTTCTCAAGTGCTTCGATTTGTTCTTGGGTAAAGGACGTCCGATTTCTCTGCAGCTTTCTTTTCAACTGGAGTCTCATCTGGGCCTCATCTGAATCTTCTCCATTTGAACTGATGGAATTGGTATTTTCACCCCCTCCTTCTTGCTGTTGACAGCCATCTGCAAAAGAAAGAGGAAACCGTTCTAAGAAAGTTTGTGCTGAACTCGCATGCCATAGCAAACACAGCCAACCATGTCTGAGGACCTCTCTTTTTCATTATCCCAAAGTGACAATACAGCAATCGAACCACTCATTCCTGTAGAAGCATAACCTATGCTGAATAATAATACTTTTGTGGCTCAATTGGTATTTCAATTTTTTTTCTTCTCTTTAACTCTCTCTGATTCTTGAAAATTGGCTGAATGAAGTCCTTGCAATTTTCTTGGCAAAGTTTTCCAGAAATGGTTTGCCATCGCCTCCTTCCTAGGACTGAGAGAAAGTGACTGGCCCAAGGTCATCCAACTGTCTTCATGTCCAAGACAGCACTAGGATTCACAGTCTCCCGGTTTCTAGCCTAGTGCCTTAATCAGTAGACCAAACTGGCTCTCATAGTTCACATTTGGATTTAAATTTGTGTATGCACTAAATCTAAAACATATTATATGCTGCCTTTGAAGTCTATGACCTACTGAAAAGATATCTTGTGAATTTGTATATAGTCATTCTGATCAAGTTTGAATGCAGAAGATGAAAGTATGGTACCCAACACCCAAGAATTTTCATGAGATTGACCCTAAACTCAAATGCAGAGAAAGCTTGTAGATGTCAGGGCCTTTGGTGCTCATTGTAGCATGTATGGTGGTCAGAAGATGGTTAGGAGTTGACTGACTATGGTATCTATTGCAATTATTTGTCTATTCTGAAGAATACAGAGAATTCCAATAGGAGAAATGTTATAAGGGCAATTCAGTGACTTCTAAGCAAAAATCAATCTGGATTCCTTAAATGGAATGGTAGCAGAAGCGAGGTAGGGCTTATCCCTTTCTACAATTCAGTGATGTTCCAAGTAGCTGCCATAAAACATTAATCAGTATACAACAATGGGGAATCAAAAACATGTCCAAGTAGAAACATCCAGTTCCAAAATATCTAAACACTTTAAAAATACAGCTGAATAAATCTATTATTTTTGCCCCTTCTCACAACGTCAAAGGTATTGTTCAAATGAGTATGGTGCAAGTTTTCCAACATGCCTTCCTAAAATATTATTTCTATTAAATTTTATTTACCTACTGGTATATTTAGAATAGGGATGCTCACTTTTTGAGATTATCTATAATCAGTAATTCCTATCTAATCAATTAGATGCTGATAGGTTTGCAGAAAATGCTATTAAGAAGCCAAACCAAGCTTATAATCTTTTTTAAAAAATATTTATCTAGTTTTGATTTTAATTCTGCACAGTCAATTTCATTTTAAAGGTTGTGAATTTAAAAGTGCCTGCATTGTTCTGCAGTTTTATTCAACTATTGTATGAGTGTGCATTGCCTTGACACCTATTACAGAGCACAGCTGTAATTATATCATCACCAAGAACAGGCTATAATTGCTGAAAATGGAATTTTATATTTAGATAAAAGGACTGTCCATTCTTTGTAATGTGTTGCACCAGAGAAAAGTAAGATTTCTTTTAAAATTTTAACATGTAATTTTAACAAGAAATAGTAGCGAGTTCGCTAAGTAGCTAAATATGCTATTCTGCAGCTGAGCGCCTGGCATATCATTTGTGGTACATTTTTAATTAGGGCATTTCCACCACTTTTAATGTAATTTCTATCATTAAACAAGAGAAAGTTTTATTGTTTTCACATAGCTGCTGGAGGTAAAGATATGCTCCTGGTTGAGCTGTCTTTCAAAGTGTCTGCAGACCCTGAGGAAAATTGAAGGGGGGGGGTGTATGAAAGAATGGTTTATTCCTCTCCCTCTCTCTCTCTCTCTCTCTCCCTCTCTCTCTCCCTCTCTCCCTCTCTCTCTCTCCCTCTCTCTCTCTCTCTCTCTCTGCTTCAACCCTCCCCCCCTTTCTTTTTACAAAAGAAATGGACATTCCTGTAGAAGGAGAGAAGTTGTCAGTAAATTAACTCTCCCTTTCCTTTCAGAGCATAATTTGGAGTGGTTTTGAAGTTGCTAAATGAAAAATAGAACAAGGGCTTCTTTTGATACAGGTCCTGAAGAAGGAAGATGAGAGGGAGAAAGTTATGTGAAAAAGAAAGGAACAGCCTTTAAAAAAAAAAAAAAACCCTCCTCTAGCCTACAAAACACATTTTTGTGGGAAATCAACTTTAGAGCAATAAATGGGTAATAATCAGCCAACAATGGAGTCTAACCTTCAAAGCCTAAAAAGAGAATTGTGACAGGATCTGGTAGAGATCTTTTCAAACACTTTGAAATGTTTTAAAACCCCAACTTTCTCCCCCATTTAAACAGTTGGATTCATCTCCAGTGGTCACCATATGGGTGTTTGGAGATCTATTGAGATGACCACCACCACTTGAATAGCGAGGGGGGGCCCCTGCTTTTCACCAGGACACAATGCCAGCAGAGTAAAGGAAACTATTAAACTCTTGGGGCAAGGAGGAGGATTGGCAAACTTTCGTGGGCAGAATTTTGAGGACACAATCAGGCCGGCCCAACAAAAGGATTCTCTTGAGGCGTGCAGTGGCCCACATTGTATCACAAGGATCCCAGTCAACAGACTTTTCAGTGAAGTATGTTAACCTTTAGGCACTACTATCATTAATCACTGTCCCCTGGGCTGGGCTACTCAATGCTCTTTAGGGTCCCCCCCTTCTATAGGAGCTGGAGAAGAAAGAAAGAACACCCCTAAACTGGTGAATAGACCAGCTCCACACATTCAGCCTGTTTACTCAACACGGGAGGGGGGGAAGGGGGAGGAGAGAGAGAGAGAGAACTACTTAGATTAAGTAAGCTTCAACTGGCAGAGAAGGGTCTAAGACAAGAGACCTGCTTCTACACATTAACCAAAGGTGATCCGCTGCCTTTTAAAGGGTTTTATGAGTAAGGACTTCTAGGTTGGCATTTCTGTAAAAAGAAACAGCCACTTTGTTGCCCCACAATCTCTAAACCGAGCTGCTGGGATTCTGGACCTGCCTCTACCAAATGTTTTGCTCCCTTAGCTCCACATACCAGTGAACCTCTGGGACCTGAATAAAGCCCCCCCCATCCCCCGCTGTGGGTCCAAGGTGTTTGGGGTGTAGCACCAGCAAAGGTTATGCTGCTGGCAGCTGATGGGAGGCCTCCCTCCTTTCTCCCACATGGTCCATGGGTGTCCAAACTCAGCAGATGGGGGGGGGGCTGGGAGGGATCCAGGTGATGGTCTTAGATAGGTCTGTGTTAGACCCACCATCGGATCGCCTCGTGGCAAAGACTTGGGGGGAGAGGTACCATGTGCCCCATGGTTGAAGAAACTTCAGGGGTAGGAGAGGAGCCTCCAGACCCCTTCCTCCTCTGGAAGGCAAGCTCTGAAGCTTCAGCCTCTTCCCCAAACAGGGAGAAACCAAAGCTGGGGGCATGGGAATGTCGGGATTAAGCTTCCAAAGAGACCTGAAAGAGGAGCTCCTTGGTGGTCCCTGAGCTTGCTTGTTTTCCTCTTGCGGACATTTCATTACCCAAACGAGGTGACATCATCACTGATGTAGCACTGATGACATTATCTAGTCTGGTAATGAAACGTCTACAACAGCGGTTCTCAACCTGTGGGTCAGGACCCCATTTGAGGTCGAACGACCATTCGCCAAACAACGCAGTCCGCCATTTTTTCCCCTTTTCCTTAGCTGTACTAATCCCTTTTATTCTATTGGCTTTTGAAAGCCAATAGAATAGACTCTCTTGAATAGAGTCTAATTCTATTGGCTTTCAAAAGCCAATAGGAATTGTCCAGGCTGTCTCTGCCCTGCTGAGCCCGCCAAAAGTCCCATTCTGCAAACGGTGCTGCACCAGTTGAGTAGTCCTCGACTTACGACCGGTTGAGTAGTCCTTGACTTACGACCGGTTGGGGGTCACAGCATTAGAAAGGTTGAGAACCACTGTTCCAAAGAGACCTGAAAGAGGGGCTCCTTGGTGGTCCCTGAGCTTGCTTGTTTTCGTCTTGCGGACATTTCATTACCCAGATGAGGTGACATCATCACTGATGTAGCACTGATGACATTACCTAGTCTGGGTAATGAAACGTCTGCAAGAAAACAAGCAAGCTCGGGGAGCCCCAAGGAGCCATCCTGTCAATCCCGAGCTAGAAATATTCTCCTTTACTGAGACCTCAAAGAACCCCCAGTACTGCGAGCTCAGCTTCCATCCGGCCCAAGGACGAGAGGTTGGGGGCGCCTTGGGGGATCTTTTGTCACCCAACCCAAGGAAAAGAAGGCCAAAGGGGGGGGAGGGGAGGGGAGGGAATGGAAAGGAGCCAAAATTCAGCTGAATCCGGTTAGGAATCGGGCAGAAAACCAGCCGCTCGAGCTCCGCGAGCCCTGCCAGTTCTCGCCGAGGCCCTCCGGACCCCATCAGGCCGGCTTCCCATTTGCTGGACTACGCCAGGAAAGGCCACATGTCTCTGGCGGGTTCCCTGGCTAGCTCGGCGATTCTCCCTTCGGCCAGATGGGGATGCAAGCGCCGGGTGTGGCCGCCCGGCGTCTGTTTGTCAGCTCGCCAAAGGGGACGAGTTAGGCAGCTCGGTTTACAGCCGAAGAGTAAGAAATAAAACAGCCTCAAACCTAGGGCTGTCTCTGTGTGTGTGTGTGTGTGTGTGTGTGTGTGTGTGTGTGTGTGTGTGTGTGTGTGTGTCTGTGTGTGTGTGTGTGTGTGTGTGTGTGTGTGTGTGTTGGGAGTAACAAGAAAAATCGGCTGCTTTTCAGCTCAAAGGCTAGAGAAGCTTGAAAAGAAATCAGCAAATACAAATACACCCTCCAGAAGGCTGCCTTCGTTCAATCGGCATTAACGGCGGCAAAGGTTAGGCTCCAACTCCATTAACGCCAATGGAACATTCTCCGCTGACTTCAGCACGACGCAGATTTTCCCTTAAATCCATTTTTTTTTCTCCTTCCGTTAACACTTATGACGACTTTTTTCATTGGCTTTCATCTCTTTTTTTTTCTCTTCCCTCCCGCTC